TGTTTATTAGATTATTTATATTATTTATATTATTGTTTATTATAATTAAAATCGTGGTGTTGTTAATGAAATTATATTGAAAGATGGATGAAAGAATTTTCCAAGAGTCGAAGACTTGATTGAAAACTTGCAATGAACCGAATCGAAATCCCGTCACTACGCGAAACCCCCTATGGAACCGGTTCTGCGGTGTGTCGTGTGGTCGTCTCTCTTACTATCAAACTCCTTTCCCTTCTCTCTCTTTCTCTCGTACGTGTCGCAGTCCCCCTGCTGTCCAACTGCATCGGTTGGTGCATTTGCACCACCCCATATACATTTTTCTTTTACCAAAGAATATTGCATCCTTTTTTTCTTGTTTTTTTTTTTTTAACAGTTCTCTCTCTCTTTCTGAGAATAAAATTTTCATTTGTTAATGCATTCCTCTATTGTTATTATTTTTTTTTGTTATTTAAACAAAATCTTTTCTGACACGTTTAACAAAAAGAGAAAAAGAAATGTTTGAATAGATTGCAGGTCTGTTGGGTGTTTCTAGACGCCACCTGCCACAACGAATAACTCGGACTCTTAAGTTTCTTCTTCTTCTTCTTCTTCTTCTTATGGGGTGGGGGAAAAAGGGGCCTCATGGGCCTCAGTAATGAGTACGAATGTCTATCGGAGCGAATCGCACGTTTCGAGTCTATCTTTGAATCTCTTCAGCTTTTACCTTCCAGCCAAAGCTGTGTTATTCTCTCTCCCTGCATACCATCGACTGGTTTTCTCGTGATCCATGATTTTCATGTCTGACTAACGTAGTAGTAGATCTGTTCTAACCGTAACAAGGAATTTCTAAATGTAATTCTTTACGTTACGTTATGTTACGTTATTATAAGGTCACTTGTTCTTTTCTTTTTTTTCTTTTTTTTTTAAATAATAGAAAACTGGATAATTATTATTCATCAATCAGGATTTGACGTCAGGATTTTATAACAGAAACTTTCCAAATTCATTTCAATGTTTATATAATTTTATCTTGAATTGTTTTGTAGAGTCTTGTTTTAAGTTAGGATTTTTGGATTTAATTAAATTGACAATATTTTATAATTTTCTTTTTTTTTTTTTTTTTCGTAATAAAATTAATGACACCATCTTGAAATAATATAATCTCGAGATAATATATATTATTTTTTGTAATAAAAGTAGGATTACAAGACAATAGATAATATCAGTAGAATAAATATTTATTTAAGTGGTACCACTAAATTATATATAATACTAGTGTACCAATCTTAAGGACAAAAGAATTCCAATAATGTTGTAAGATAGAAAATACTAGAAGACAAGTTTCTGCGATAAGAATGAACGAAATTTTTGGAATCTTGGTTACACAAGTGACTGTATCCAAAAAGAATAATAGGAAAGTGAACATTGTAATTGCATTTTCAATGATTCCCCCCCCCCCTAATAATTATTTCTAAGAGTATAAAAATGTTAAATTTGGGAAGACAATAGGTGATGTATCGATTGAGCAAGTGTATCAGCAAGAAGATTGCTTGACGACGAGTTGGCAGGCAACCTGGCAAGCAGACAGGCAGGCAAGCAGCCGGCCGGCCGGCTTTAGCAGCAGCACCAGCATCATCAACAACGATAGCAAAAGCAAAAGCAAAAGCAAAAGTAACAACAGTAACAATATCAAAAGCTAAAGCTAAAAGCCAGTCAGCCAGGCCTGCAGGCCGGCAGGCAGCCGGTTGCTCGAAGAACGGCGTTCGTTCGAGAACGGTTGAGGGTCCGTGGTGATCGTGGCGATTCGTCCTCCCATTGGTTGAGCGAGTATACGGCTACGAGAAGAGACGACTCTCTTTGTCCGTTTTTCGTCCGTTCGGTGGCTGCTCAGAGTTACGGTGGTGGCGGGCGGGTGGGTTTCGTAGGAGAAACGACTTACGTTGCAGTCGGGGATCCCACAGTCCTCCAGAACCGGCAGACAGGCGGTGATAATCGTGCTCGTCCTCGCAAACCTAACGACGATCACGACTACGACAAACCTTCAACTCTAACAATTCAATTTAACGTGTTATTTTCAATGAAGAAAAATTCAAAAGAGATTATTCAAGAGAATAGTATTATCCTTGAGTTAGAGCTTTTTATACAACTGTGTAAGAAAGGGAGAGGGAGAGAGAGAGAGAGAGAGAGAGACAACCGAGTGTCTTCTTAGACCCCCACGTGGATGATGATGATGATGATGTCGATCGAGAAAAGAGAAAACGATAAGGTGTTCGATACCATCATCCCACCCCACCATTTTCGGAAGCTCTTCTCATTCGGTACGTACCTTGGGGGCTCATCCGTCTGACGGATTGAGTAGACAATCCCCCTCCCACACCCGTTTTATCTCTCACCAACTTCACTGATCGACTTTCTAATTCAACAAACGTGTGATAACTGTTTAATTATTTAACTTCATCAAGTATTCATTGTCTCATACCTAGCTCACGTATTTTACAATATTCCATCTGTGTTCCATTTTTTTTTTCTTCCTATCAATATTTAACAAAAGTAATTTTTGTCGAAAGGAATTAGGAAAAAGAAAGCAAAAAAAAAAAAAAAGGACAAGTGGCAGTAAAAAAAAAAAGAAAAAAGAAAAAACCAAAAAAAATTGGGATTTTATGTTTGATCTGGTATTAAAGTCGAAGGTTGTGTGATTCGATCGTCTGGAAGGAGAAAGGCCATTGTTAGATCAAAGATAAAGAAGAAAAGGAAAGCGATTGCCCTTCGTGGTATCGTCGGGAGTGCTCACCTTGAGAGCCTTGATCGTACAGACTCAAGAAAAAGAACAAGAAAAAAAGACAGAGAGAGAGAGTGAGAGTGAGAGAGAAATTATTGCTCGCATATGAATACAATGAGAAGGTAAGGCCGGTCTCCTTCTTCTTCTTCTTCTTCTTCTACTTCTTCTTCTTCTTCTACTTCTTCTTCTTTTTATAAAACAATTCGCCACCCGTTACATAGCCGACGTTCTCCCGCGGATCTCGACTTCCTGCGACGACCTTCGGCATTGACTCGTATCATTCGAACGTCGTCGCGAAAAATTTGCTGTCTGTTCTTGTCCCATGACTTTCTCTCTCTCTCTCTCTCTCTCTCTCTCTCACTCTCTCTTTCGTGTTTCTAATTTTTTTTTTTTGGTTTTTCTTTTGACTTTGAAAATCAAACAAAAAGAACTAGATCAAAATTGGCGGGAAAAAAGAAGTCCAGAATTCCTTTTCTTTTTTTTTTTTTKTTTTTTTTTGTTTAAATATTTTTAGACCAGACTACTGTCTCCTTCGTGTTGGTAATTTTGACTTTTTTTTCTTTTTTGGGGGATTTTTCTTTTGACTTTGGAAATGAAAAAAATAGGAACCAGATGAAAATTGGCGGGAAAATGAGTTTCTTTTTTTAGTTTTTTTTTTTTTTAATATTTTCGTATCAGACTTTCTCCTTTGTGTCGGTAATTTTGATATTTTCTTTTTTTTTTTTTTAGTTTTTCTTGTGACTTTGGAAATTAACAAAAATGAACTGCATCAAAATTGGCGGGAAAAAGAATTTCTTTTAAATATATTCACACTTGTTGCTTTTTTCTGGGCTAAATTTTATACAAATAATGGGTATAAGTTTGCAGAAAACATATATTTGTATTCGTATATGTGTATGCATGTGTATATATATATATATATGTAGGTAGGTAGGTAGGGTCGAGGAAGGGAACACACGTTAGTCTCTTCTTGGTGCGTTTTAGTCGGGGACGTTTGCTGTACATGTCCTGTACGAACACGGCGTATGCCTCACGCGCGGACAACGCTTCGGTCAAGGTCACAGTCTGCACGTTTAACGTTCTTTTTGCACGTTCTCTTTCCATGATGCCTTTTCTACAGGGTGTCCTGAAAAAGATCATTAATCAGACGAGAAAAATCTTTGAAGATCATCCCATCTCTCTTCAACAATTTCTTCTTCTTTTCTTTCCTTTCCTACCCATCCCCCTCCACCCCTTTTACTAATTTCTTTTTAATTTATTAATTTTATTATTAATAATTTATTATTATTATTATTTTGTTGTTGTTGTTGTTGTTGGTTGGTTACTTTTATTTTTATGTAGACCTCACACGTACTGCGTCGAGAATTGGTAACTCTACCACCGTTGGCGAATTGTGACTGTCAATGGGGTAAGAGTTTCCGTCCCTCGGCGTTTAAAATATTTATATATATATATATATATATGGTGGTTTATTTAATCGTGAGAACTATCCATGAAAACTACCCTCATTTTTAGTAGTATATATACGGTACTTATGTATATATTGTGTATGTACCCCCAATCTTTCGAAAGGTGTATACGTAAGTATTTTGGTAAGTAACATTTGCCACTGTGTACATTCAAAGAATTTATAGAATTATATACATCAGATGTCCATTTTTTGTGTAAAAAAATCATCTTGTTGTTAATTAGCACCTGGGATCATCAGCATTAAAGTATTTTACAGATTAACCTCATACTATAATTGGAAAAATAATATCAAATTCCAAAATATCTGATGGATTATCAACGCACAACAGCTGTTCAAGAACAACGTACTACGTTTTTGTAATTTAATTTTATTTATTTTGAAAATTTACATCTACATTAAAAAAATGTAAAAGACATCTTCTATTGAAACTAATAATATAGATTTAAATTAAATCAAATAATTAGTTAGAATTATTTCAATCATTTCTTAAACTTAGTCGATAAATCAAATGAGATCTTCCTTACCATCGAATCTCGTGCGATCTACCTTACCATCAAATTTCAATCGATAAAAACTTACCATCAAATCTCGTGCAATCTACCTTACCATCAAATCTCGATCGATAACAACTTACCATCAGATGTTTTTTTTAATCAAAACTAGCAGTGTTTCAAGATGGTTGTATTATTAATAGTACGTAAAGTTAAAATTGATTTGATGGTGTCGCTGCAATCGTAATCGCGTCTCAGTTGCTTATTGCCTTGACGTTAGTGTGTTATTATTGTTAAACGTTTCACTGTGTTCATATCGTCGTATCGCTGTCAGAAGTTTATTTTTTTTTTTACATTTAATAAGTCATGCCTCACGTTTCGTTAATATCTCTGTTATTATTTATGTCTGTAATATCTATGAATGTTGCTGGTCCTGCTAAAAGAACGGTGCGTAACATTGAAAACGAAATTTCATAAATGTGTACAAATTTGGAATCTGATTTTGATAGGCGTTAGTTGGATTCTTAGAAACAAAGGTTGTTGTTCATATGATTCACAGTGACTTTTGAACCCATGTTTATTAATTGCAATTATTTTTTATTTATTTCTTTTTCATTTTTCACGATTATAAATTATATTTTTAATATTACGATATATCATAACCTTTATTTCTATCTTCTATTCTTTTTGTTTCATTTAATGTTTAATATAATCGTTAATACACTTTGTTAATTGATATTAGAACATGTGTTGTGTTGTATATATCTGTAACATTATTATACATTACAATTGTTAATCTAATCAAAACTACGTCATTCAATACAATTACCAATCCAATTGATAAGAAATTCGTCGTCATCACACAAATGTGAATTTACATAATTATATTTATTTCATTTTCAATTGACATTATTGATCCATTCATATTTGTATACTTTCTTTTTTCTTCTTTTTTATTCATAAAAACAAACGTTCTTTGTTATAAAATTTGAAAAGGCGCCTTTTCTTAGCTCGCCATTTTCTATTGGTTCACGCACTGTACGCTCGTAATTAAGCGTTACAATTATATTTCTTATTTCGAATATGACGCGCGTATGTTAAATAATTGATTTCTAATAATGAATTAATGTTTATTTTTTGTAAAACAGCTGTTTAAAAAAAGACAATATGTGTTTTATAAGAATTACGAAATGCGCCGCCATTTGTTCAATTTTTGTGACTTACGTTGTTGAAGGTGGTCTTATTATTCTTCGACGAATCGATTATTATATATTTTTTTTTTTTATATTTATACTTTAAAATAATTAATTTTCATGAAATTATTTCCACTTATTTAATTTATTATTTTATTTGAAATTTGTTAATTTTTATCAATTGTTCAAACATGAAAATAGATTTTGTTAAACATGAACAAAAATTTTATGTACGATCAATACAATTGTTAAATATTAAATTTAAATGTTTATTTATATTTATTGAATATTAATTTTCAGTTACATTTTGAGGAAAAATGCAAAAACCAAAATTGGACCACGATGTATTTGAGAGCTGACGGATTTAACGATACTTTGCATTACATTTGGGATTTTGGCGGTAAACCATCGATATTAATGGCGCTTACGTCACTTCCGGCGACATTGAATATCACTTGTGAAAATTTTTTACACAAACAAAATAATTCTATTGTATTTTCGGAAAAACCTATTTACACCATTGGAATAATTATAAACAAGGTTTGTATTTATTTTTATAAGAGGGGTGCCCCGTCACGCGTTACTGTGGCTCACAATTAGTCCGATACACACGTCTTTAAGTCAATTACGATTATAAATTGAGATATAAACTATCCTATCTTTCAAGTTGGATGAAACTGCACACAGTGTGCAAAATTTTATTCAAATCAGTTAAGTAGTTTAGGAGTCCATTGCGGACAAACAACGTGACACGAAATTTATATATATATTAAGATAATAAAAAATTCATTAAATTAATAATTTTTTTTCTCATTTGACTTATTTGACAGATAATCGAATTTAATGACGTAAATAATACGGCGGTGATCAATTTTACCAATGCAACGAATATAAACGTCTTAAAACCAGAATCATTTGTTTGGTCTCGCAAATCATTTTCAATGGACGATGATTCATTTGGTTTAAACATGGAAGCCAATTTTTACAACGATACAACTACAAATATCATCAGACACGGAAGTATAAAAGCAACGGTATAGTATAATATTAATTTATTTTGCAATTGCAAATAAAAAAAAAAAACAAAATGAATTACATTTGTTCATAAAGAATATGTCAAGGATATTTATTTCTTCTTCTTCTTTTAGTTAAAAGGATATTACTTTATGGAACACACGGATTCAATTCCTCACATGTTACACACAGAAAATTCCATGTTGGTAGATTTAATATTCGATAACATTGAAACAAACGAAACATTTACCAATAGCAGGTTCGCTGTTGAGTTGATGATAGTTGGTGGTGGTAATCCAGATAAATTGATGATCATTGATCCTAAAAAGAATCTCGATGATGAACACACACCTGGTATATTTGAGGTAATCAATTTGATCAAACACAATTCTATTAGTGTTGTACAATTGACATTAGTATTTTAATGATAGGTGATTGAAGTGAGAACACCAGCATTTAACAGAAATAACGAGACTCAAGAAAATAGTGCATATTTACAATGGCGACCAATTTCTTACGTATCATCGTCACGTAGTGTCAGTAGTTCAACAGAAATTGTACAATATCCACCATCAAAAGTAAACAATCGTGTTGGTGCAATTAACAATTCAATGCTTTATTGTTATTACGGTGAAAATGTTGATAATCTTTTGGTACAAACGATTATGATCTCGGTTGGATCGAAAGATGATGGATTTTATAAAAGCACACGTTACACAACCTGGTAATATATTTCATCATATTTATTTCCAAAATAAAACAAAACAAAAAACATTGAAAAATGAGATGTATATATATATGTATATATGAGATGTCAAAATATGATTGTATATGTTGTAGGACATTTATCATTGGATATGGGACACCACCAGATGAACAGTTATCCTATTTAGTTATCCTAATCATTTCGATTGGACTTGGTCTTCCTATTGTCATTATATTCCTAGCTGCATTGTATGTGTGTATTCGTAACATGTCCAAGAGACGACACAATGACACTTATTTAAATCGATGAGAACAAATAATAAGGTCAACCCAAAATCAGGCCATCTAGACTAAACATGACGGATGTACAAATACATACAACAGAGAGACAGACATATCATATGTGCATTGAAGTATATATATATATATGTATATTTTCTATGTACGTAATCTATATACACGTGCATGTGTATGTATGTGTATATAGAAATATATATATATATATATAGTTATAAGAATTTCTAACTGTACCACCACACGATGAGGAACAAACCGTAGCTCGAGATATTCCTCTCTCTCTCTCTCTCACTGCAATTATGCACACGAGCACACGAACAAACAACAAGTTTATATGGATATTTTTACACGAACGCGTAGTTGCACGGCCGAGTGACGAGAGAGAGAGAGAGAGAAAGAGAGAGAGAAAGAGAGAGAGAGAGAGAGAGAAGCATCGATTAAATGCTAAGAGACTTTTTAACCCGTCCCTTTTTATAATAATGTTCCACGCACACATGGGGGAACTATTACAAAAATTTATTTTGGATCTTTCATAAATTTTTTTAAAGAAATATATAGTTATTTGATTAGAAAAAAAAATATTAAATGTTATTAAATAAACAATTGTTTTTGTTTTTTTTTAACACATTTGCGACTGGTGACGTTAATTTCACGTCTTTTCAAGTTCTATTATTAATTGTTGTTTTTAAATTTGTGAAAAAAGTTTGATAAAAATACATTTTATATATATATATATATAAATTTATATATAATAAAAAAAAAGAAAATATATTAAACAAAATTTATATAAATATATAAATATAAATTTGATATATTTATAAACCCTTTGCAACTTTGAATTACATTTCAATTTTGTTATCAACAGATTTCAATGATTTTATAAATATTTTATTGCAAATTATTCTTCCATTGAAAAATATCATGATAATTTAAATATATTGTATGAAAGAAGAAATAAAATTAAATAAAATGTCCATTTTAATTTGTATTATTGTTAAATTTTGTAATTTTTCAAATTTATGATATGTTTTCATGTAAAAACCAATGTTGAGTCACAACTCGAAATAGGAATGCAAAAAGGGTTAAATTTATATTTAATTATTATCAATATAATATTTAAAACAATTTATTATTAATTTTTTTTTGCCGATATTTAGTATTAAAAAAAAAAAAAAAGAAAAAATATGCCGGCCGCAAATGTGTTAATCGTCGAATTTCTGTAGGAAGTTTTTTTTTGTTTCGTTGCACCAGAACTCGATGCGAGAACAACAAAAATATATAAATAATTAATAAATAAAAATATAAAATTGTTATATACATATATATATATTAATATGAATCATCCTTATTTTTTGTCCATTGAAAAATTTACGATATAATAAATGATGACACAAAACTATCGATTGGTCACAAAAGATGTCGTCGTTGCACATGAGAAATAAGAAAAGAAATAATAAAACATGGTTGAAGATAGCAAATAAAAAAAAAAAAAAAGATATTCTAGGAAACCTAACGTTGAAGTATCTTCATCTTCATCTTCATCTTCATCTTAGTCTTCTTGAAATCATACAATGTCTTCTTGGTGACATGAGTTTGAGGTTGTTGTTGACGGACGAGCTTACTAAAACACGTCCGGGGGGTATGGTATGAAAATCCTTGCCGAATGTTTTCAGGTAAAGGTAGTAAGAGTGGCGCGGTATGGTACCGGCTTCGAAGAAGAAGAAGAAGGGGTGGCTGAGTGGGTGAGGTGAGGTGAGGTGAGGTGAGGTGAGGTGAGGTGAGGTGAAGTGAGGTGAGGTGAGGATTTGCTGCTTGGTGGGGTGGTGGTACACATTCATTGATCCGTCGTATTACGGAAGTGAACAGCTCGAGAGCTTACGTATCCTGAAGGGTGAAAAACGGAAAGAGATAGAGATAGGGATAAAGGGAGAGGGTAAATCACAAACATGGTGGTGTTGTAGTAAAAAAAAGGAAAGCAAGAAAGAGGAGAGAAGAGGAGAGGAGGGACTAGGTTTTCTTCTCAGCATGATTTTCAATCAATTCATGATTTTGTTTATATTAATCAATTAATTTGAACAAAGTAGTATATTATCAAGTATTATTGTGTGTTATAAAAAATGATAATAAGATATATTATCAAGTATCGATCATTTACATAACGCGTAGGGGCTGGTCAGCAGTTCTGACGCACACCACCGGTTGGTTCATTGAAGTTCTCCATTGAGGAGACTATCGATGCGTTCCTTTTCTTCGATTATTTGTTTCATCGGTTAACAAGTAGAATAGGTTCGTGTTAATTCCGACTTGGAAGACAAAGAAGCAAGAAGCAAGAAGAAGAAGAAGGAAAACCAAACACATCAGAGTACTTCAAAGTATTTGCTTGGTAAGATTGAGGAAAGTTGTGACAAATAATAGCGTTAAGTATGAATGCGTATGAGTATGAGTGTGTGTGTGTGTGTGAGAGAGAGAGAGACAAGAGTAAAAGCTTTTGAGGATTTGGAAAAGCTCTAACAGCAAGTAGCAAGCAGCAACAGCAACAGCAGCAGCAGCAGCAGCAGATCTCTCAGCGCAGGTAGGCAAGCAGGCAAGGGTATAGGTGGTAGTTTTAAAGGTGGGGGTTGTTGCGAACGGTGCGGCTATAAAAGGGTGGAATTGGAAGGGGTGTAGCGACCACGAGAAAGTAGTTCTCGTGTGATCCGCTGCGCGAGTTTGGCGCGTGACGATGCAGTAACGTCCGCGTCGCTCGTTTCGTCTGTGCCGCGACAGTCCTCCCGGAACGAGCTTTTCGTCGTCGCGAAAACAAGTGGTGTGGAGAGAGAGCGAGAGAGAGAGAGAGAGAGAGCGAGAGAGTGAGAGGGGGTGATAGGAAGATCAAAAAGGAGAGAAAGAGAGAGAGAGAGAAAGTGGGTGCGAGAGAAGAAACGAAGAACACAGAGAAAGGAAGGAAGGAAGGAAGGAAGGAAGGAAGGAAGAACGAACGAAGGATAACAGCAGCGACGAACGTTTTTGTTATTTTGTGTTTCAATTACGGGGAGGATCTGGTCTCGAGGGGGGTGGAAATATAATCAAATATTAATAAAGAAAAAAGAAGAAGAAGAAAAAAAATAAAGGAAAGTAATAAAGAAGAAGAGGAATTAAAAAAAGGAAGAAACAGTTACATAGATAAGGGAGGGTTAATAGGAGGTAGCGCGCGCGCGCGCGCCCGTGTATGTGTTGGATAGAATTAAGGAGAAGGAGGAGGAGGAGCAAGAGGAAAGTAAAGGAGTCAAAGGGACAGCAGCATCGGTGCGTCGTCGTCATCGTCGTTTCTGAAGGAAACGTCGTCGGTGGTTTAGAGAAAATAAAAAGTGTATCGGAGAAGGGTGCTAGTGGTGGAGGGGGAGAAGGCGAAGGCGAAGGAGGAGGAGGAGGTGGAAGTGGAAGAAGTGGAGAAGAGAGGAGGAGGAGGAAGAGGAGGTGGAGGTCCGACGGAGGAGACGGTCTGACGTAGGGCAGTGCGGCTAGAGCGGGCGAACCGCGCGTCCTACCCTTCGCTCCCACCACCCTTCGCCCTTGTCGTCCTCGGTGCGATCCAACAGCAGCAGCAGCGGCATCGCTACTACTACTACTATCACAATTGCTATTCTATACTACTCATACAGTCATCACCAATACTAAGAAGCTGCAGCAGCAGCAGCAGCAGTACCACCACTATTATAAATTTGTATTACTTACACACTACCACCATTATCATTACTACCACCACTACTACAGCAGCAGTAGCGTCTTCGTCATAAGCACGTAATCGTCGTTGGTACTACTACTACTACTACTACTACTACTACTATCAAGGAGCTTATTATTTTGTCATCGGTACTACTACTACTACTACTACTACTACTACTACCAACTACCACCACTACTATTACGTCCTGCTGCCGTCGTCGTCGTCGTCCTATCGTCGTCGTCGTCGACGACGACGTCGAGGCCAGCAGGCTTCTACTCTTCTATTCACTTATCTTCTTTTTGTGATCCTCAAAAAGCTAAAAAAAGGGACCACCACCACCACCTAAAGCAGTAGCAGCAGCACACCAGCACCATCATCGTGCGCAGCAACGCGCGATCAATTCCGGCTGGTTGCGCCGCTCGCGCGCGACTATTATTTATTACGGTTTTATTCTTGAACAACGGCTAAATTAAAAAGAAATGACGACGACGAGACACCTGCCAATGTGTTACCGATAACGGCAGGCCGAATGATGTTGTCGCAGAGCAAGTTTTACGCTCTCTTCATTCACTACACGTTCGTGTAGCGCAACACGGGGCGGGTCCTTCTTGCCGGAGCTGTTGAAGGAATTCGAAGTGGAGGAACTAGAGGAGCATTTGGTAAAGAAGAAGAAGAAGAAGAAGAAGAAGAAGAAGAAGAAGAGGAGGAAGAGGAAGAAGAGTGTGCAAGGAGGAAACAGAGGAAGACAGTGAAACTTAAAGCCAAAGTCGGTACGTAAGATGCATTTCAAAATTGCATATATATATATATAAACAAGAAGATGCAATTAAGTGGAAAAAAATTTTAAAGAAGAAGAAGATTCAGGTGATTAGGAAATATTAAAAAGAGAATTAGGAAGTTACAGTGTTCAGTGAGAAAGAAAGAGATAGAAACAGAAGGTTCTAGTGCATCGGTCGTCTATTTGGTTCTGTGCTTTGCCTATCGCTTTTTTTTTTCGAGAAACGAGAGCACGAACAAGTGGGCCAGAGAGAAAGAGAGAAAGAGAGAGAGAGAGAGAGAGTATATGCATGTGAGAGAGTATAACGCATGATATCCGCAGTGTGCATATTTTTATTTGTCCACGTTGTGCGTCTACGTGTATTCCTCTCTCTCTCTCTCTCTCTTTCTCTTTCTCTCTCTTTCATGACATACATACATAGATATATACATACACATATATATTTATGTATATATGAATATATATACTCATAGTTATCGATAAATAAAAAAAGGATGTAAAGGGGTGTAATCTCTTCCGATCGTAAGTGTGCCATTTAAATGTCTCTTTCTCTCTCTCTCTCTCTCTCTCTCTCTCTCTCATTCTATCTAATAGTTTAGAAATGTTGTATATTTTGTCCATTGTGTGTATTCCCGTAACTTTATCTGCATGGTAAAACCCCCTCAGTCATTGATTCTACCACTTGAAGTAGTAGCGTCCAAGTGTGGTCAGACTTTGTGCTCGGGGAAGTAGTCAAGCCGCGTGGTGTAGGGCGGCGCGGCTGTTCTCCTTGCGACAGTGGCGACATTATGCCACTCTATACTACTTACAAGTAACACGGTAGCACTAGCAACCTTCTTCTTCTTCTTATTCGTGTTACTACGGTCACGTCTCTTTTTATTCTAGTTGTTTTTGTGTTAAATATAGGCGCGTTTTAATGAAACAATAAAAGATTGATGAACAATTGTAAAATAAAATAAAAAAATTGGAGAAAAAGGGTTCTTGAAAAAAAAAAGGATAGCACGCTGCTTGAAAGCACAAAAGAGAGAAAAGAAAAAGTCATCTTTTTTCTTTTTTTTTTTTTTTTTATTCGAGTATAACGCGCGCGATCGAATCGCATCGAGGCGCCACTCGCATCAAAGAGACACTGCGATATATCGATCGACTTTCTTCACTGAAGCTTACTGATCGAACAAACATTGTTTCTATACAATCGTACGACACGTTGAATTTCATCAATTGAATTATTTCTCCGATAATATTTCTAATTTATTTATTTATTCTTTTTTTTTGATAAATAAAATAAAAAATGATTTTTCTAAGAGAATATTGTTGAAAAAAAGTTGCGTGCTCGTTTCTCGCTCTCGGTGACCTTCCTTCGCGCGAAAATTGCACGATCGATACACGGACCGTGCACGATTTGCTTGAACGTCTAACGACGACGATATCGATCACCCACCTCTCTCTCTTTCTCTTTTATTTTCTCTTAACATTTCTCTCTCTTTCTCTCTCTCTCTCTCTCTCTCTCCAACAGACTACGGAGTCCAGAGGCCATTCTCGAGGATCTTTTTCTTTTTTTTTTTTCTAGGGGTTTTCCGTATAATTTTGAAGACAATTCTACGACACCGTTTTTCTTTTTTTCTTTTTTACTCACAATATTCCTTTGTATCTTTTTTTAGTTAAACAACCAAAACAAAAAAAAACAAAATTATTTTCAGATAATTTTCAGATAATATTTTCAGATAATATTATAGGAAGGACAACACGCGTTTTTAAATGCGACCGAGTTTACTTGTTTTGGAAACTTTCCAAGAGAATTAGAGGCGTGATACCATAACGTGTGCCTGTCTCTCTCTCTCTCTCTCTTTCTCTCTATTTTCTCTCTCTTTCCATTTCTCATTTCTTACGAAAGTTCATCAATTTCATTGTCCACTCCTCAGCCAAACCCCTTGACAAGATACAATCTATTGCATGTACATACTTATATAATACTCAATACCATTATTATTATTATATTTTATAAACAATTATTATAAACAATCATTATGGAACATTAAAAACATTGATTTTTATTCAATTTGTTGTTTAAAAGAATTTTTTTTTTGTTTAAATAGAACGTGCATGCCGATATCGCGTTAATGGTTGACCTGTACTACTTCAAATTTATTATACACGTTATATTTCTATTTCGAATAACTAAAATTATTATATTTTATAAACAATTATTATAAATAACATTGCAAACATTAATTATTATTCGATTTGATTTAAAAATATATTTTTTTCAATTTTTTTAAGTAGAACGTGCATGCCGATATCGCGTTAATGGTTGACCTGTACTACTTCAAATTTGTTTATCCACGTTATATTTCTATTACGAATAACTATAATTATTAAATTTTATAAATAATTATTATAAACAATCATTATTATGTGGAACATTGAAAATATTTATTATCATTCGATTTGAGTTGAAAATATTTTTTTTTATTTTTTTAAGTAGAACGTGCATGCCGATATCGCGTTAATGGTTGACCTGTACTACTTAAAATTTGTAATACACGTTATATCTCCATTACAAATAACTATAAATGATTTATTTCTTTTAAGGGAGGTTTCTTTTTTTATTATTGAAATAAGAGGTTTAAGTAAAAATCAATCGATTTCTACATAATGTATTAGTAATCTCAATCTGTATGCGTTTAATATGTATATAATGTGAGAGTGTATGTGTCTCTCTCTCTCTCTCTCTCTCTCTCTCTCTCTCTCTCTCTCTCTCTCTCTACGACGACTATTTTTTTATTCACAGAAGTTAGTAAATTTATCTTCTTTGGTAAATAAATGATCGTTTGTTCGCACGTAATGTCAAAGGTCACAAAGCTGGGACCGATTTACGTACGCCAGTCCTGGTTGTCCTGAAGAAAAACTCACACGAACAACATCACATTCTCCCTTTTAATCTATGACGTATGAACGTATCTTCCAATTCATTCTTTATCCACGTTTATGTGTTGAATATATATTTATAGATTTTACATATACATATACACACATATATATATATATATGTATAAATCAATTGAATGTCCATTGTTATAGTTTATTTTAATGATTAGGTGACTATTAATATGAATGACGTGTAATACAGTTAAATGTTATTTTGTACATTTGTTATTTTATTTTATTTTATTTTATTTATTTATTTATTTATTTATTTATCATTCATAATCTATCTTTTTTTTTTTTAAACGTTTTAAATTATTATTGTTAAATTGTTATTATTTTTCTTGATTAAGTATATATCTATATATATATATAAAAACCTAGACATGGTTTGAGGTTGGCAATGCAAAAGGATTTGGCACGTTGCCTGTGTTCCACTGGACTCAAAATTCTTTCCAATCTTAATCTTCTTCTTCTTCTTCTTCTTCTACGTTTTTTCTTTTTTTTTTTTTTTTTTTTTTATTTAACCGCAATGTGAACAAAAAATAATTATGTAATATATGGTCGATACTTTTTTATTATTCAATTTGACAAG